GTGACCGGACGCTGGAGGGTGAGTTCGGTCAGATCATTTGATCAACTATAGTCATCTGGTACTGATCGGACGCTGAACAGTAAAGTGACCGGACTCTGGGTGCCAGCGTCCGGTCAACTCCAGAGAGGTTCCAGAGAGCGTTTTTCGGGACGGGACGCATCCGGTCAGTGCTGACCGGACATTGGTCAGAATCCGGTACATGATCGGACGCTGAACAGTGAAGTGACCGGACTCTAGGTGCCAACGTCCGGTCAACATTAGTAAGGTTCCAGAGAGCATTTTTCATGACCGAACGCGTCCGGTCAGCGCTGACCGGATGCTGGTCAGAGTTCGGTCAGTGCTTAATAGCTCTTTCTGACACAGTGGCGGGTATAACTGACCGGAGCGTCCGATCACCCTGATCGGAGCATCTAGTCACCCCGCAGAGTGTTGACTCAGCCTCCAAACGTTATGTTTTGAATGATGGGGTATAAATACTTACTCCACTCGTCCATGGGAGGTCTCTTGCCCATTTGTTCAGCTGAGAAACATCTTTGTAGTGCAAGGGAGAGCAAGAGCCTAGTAAGGTGAATGAGATTTGAGAATCCAAGATTAAGGACCTCATTAGTGAATAGAGAGTAGCAAGTGTCCATCCACCTATCTCATTTGGCTTGTCTTGGTCAAGTGAGAGTTTGTGCTTGTTACTCTTGGTGATTGCCATCACCTAGATGGCTCGGTGGTGATTGGGAGCTTGGTGATCATTCGGCGGAGCTTGTGGATAACCCAAGCCAAGTTGTGAGCGGTTGTGGGCGATTCACCGTGACGGAGTCTCAAAGAATCAGCCCGTAGAGAGCACTTGATCCTTGCGCAGATCAAGGGGAAGCTACACCCTTGTGCGGATGCTCCAACGAGGACTAGTTCGGAGTGGCGACTCTCTGATACCTCGGGAAAATATCGCTATGTTCCTTTCCCTCTCTTTAATTTGAGCATTTACATTTGAGCAATTCATTTTATGTCTTTACATTCCTAGAATTACCATGCTAGGGTAGGATTGGAACCTAGGGTGCAAAACTTTTGTGCGTGAGATCAATAGAAACACATTTTAGGCACAAGGGGTGAAGTTGGTTAAGTGTAGGGCTTATTTATTATAAAGAATTTAGAATTAGTCCAATTCACTCCCGTCTTGGGCGTCTTGATCCTTTCAGACGTCACAGCGTGGGCCACTGCTGGGCTGGCTCGGCCACACGCGGGGCGGGCACATGCGGGAGGGAGCTGGGCCGCGTTGCTGGGCTGACGGCAGCGCACGTGGGAGCGGAGCTGGGCTGCGCGGGCGATGTGGGCCGGTAGGGCTGGTCGGCCTGATGCGCCTGGGCCGCTTTCCTTTTCCTTTTCCCCCTTTTCTAATTCCTTTTCTACTTTCTATTCTACTTCTTAGGCTCCTATGTATGTATACATGTGTTGCCAAGCATGCATACACCCTGGTGGGGTCCAATAGAGGTCATCTAGGGTTTTAGGGTCCAAGCCAAGGGTCAGCAGTTCACACACACATCAAGTTTATTACAAGGGTTTAGTTTGATTTTAATTCATCACATAAAATCATGAAGAAACAACTCACAAGTTGTTTAGTATGCAAATGCTCAACTATGTTAACTTGGAATCCACTTGTGCAACTATAAGGGTGTTTTTCTAGTATGCACACTCACCATGCATATGTTTTGTTAGAATTTTTTTTTAAATTCAGATTTTTAGGTTATTGGAAAACCTAGGTTGTGACACAGTGTCACGAAATCGTTTATGTAGTAGTGCAAGTCAAGATTTCTAAACAAGTTTTAACCTTGTATACTTCCTGGGGACGAGAGGGAGGAGGAGCAGGTGGCGATGGCCAACGTAGTGGTTTAGTGGAGGCGACCGTGCACGTGATGCGGGGTGTTTCCGTTTTTTTAGGTGCGTTGATTCTGATATTTATGTTTATAGTTTTTTCTTGAAGCCATTTTTCATTTTTGAGGAAAAAATGAGACAAAGGAATGGAGCTGAGGGAGAGGGAGGATCGGACGCCACAAGGATGTAGGAGTAGCTTGAAAACCGAACACGGATACGAGGAAAAAAAATCGGTCGTCAGTCAAGCATTCAAGCAATCAAGCTGCCGATCACGCGTAACAAACGCCGGTAAGGCATGCTTTGTGGACTGTGGTTGTGGAGGACGCGGATCAGGCGGGCGGTTTGGTTTTTGTTGCGTGATTTACTCGAGATGGGGAGTTTGGCAGTTTTTTGATGCTCGATTTGAGCCGGGGGCGCTCGTTTAGAGGGCTTTTAGTTGTGTTTATTATTTAGATAGCGCATTGTAAATAGATAATATAGATAGTGAATTCTATGTAGCACGACATTTCATTATACAAAAAGTTGAGTGCTTTCGATTTGTCACCCTGTCCACATGTATACGTGACTCTCATAATGAAGATGAAGGAACAAAACTTTTAGTGTTACATATGTTCTGAAACTTCCCCGTGTATCACTGACCATTCTAAAGACCAATCATGCTTTTGTGGTGATGGGCAATTACGCTAGTTTTTGAGAGAAGTACTAAAGCTTAGTTATTTTTTGATAGAACTACTGAAGTTTAGTTATTGTGCTTTCTGAATGATAAAAGACTAGTTTTCAAATAAAGTAGGAACAATTGTTTAATCACTCGCCTGTGAAGAACTTTGGTAGGGTGTGCCACTGCTACACTAACTGTTTCCACCTTCGACCAAAAAGCGTTAACAAGCCCCGCCTCTGCTACGAGTATGGATGAAAACGGTACGGATATTTATTCGACCGTCCGTTCGACCGAACAAATATGAACACTTATTTGGATAGTTACTCGGATATCCGTAATTTTTTTCGGATACGGATAATAAAACGGATATCTTAGGCGGATATCAAATACGGATGTAATATCATCAATATCCGGCGAATATCGGATAATCCGGTTAAGTATCGGATATATCCGGATATTTTCAAACGGATATTATCCGGATATTATTCAAACGACCTTGGATGGAGAAATGATCAAAATAAAAATTGTAGATCTCAAAAAGTTATGAAACTTTGTTGTTTACAACTTTTTCGTTTGAAATCATTTAGTGCTTCAAAATTTAAACCGTCCAAACTTTCTCAAATGGAAAACTAGTTTATAGGCGTCAAAATTTAAAAATCACAAATTTGAACCATCCAAACTATCTCAAATGGAAAGTTGACCAAAACAACATTTGTAGATCTTGATGAGTTGAACAAACTTGGTATTCAAAACTTTTCAATTTGAAGTCATTTAGAGTTCATAATACTAGAGTCAAAGTGTTGTTTTTTCATTTGACCAAATTTGACTTAGTCAAACTTGCTCAAATGAGACACTAAATGACCTCAGATGAAAAAACTCTGAATACCAAGTTTGATCATCTCAGCACGATCTACAATTGTTACATAGCTCATTTTCCCATTTGAGAAAGTTTTATCAAACACTAGTCATAAATTCTTGAATCTCATATAGACTTTCTGAAACTATGTCACACACTTGTGAAATTTGAACTACATTTTGTTCAAACTTTCTCAAATAAAAAAATAGCCTATATAAGGATTGTAGATCTTGATGAGCTGAACAAACTTGGTATTCAAAACTTTTCAATTGAAGACAATCTAGGGTTCCGAAAACTAGTTTGTAAGCATCGAAATTTAAAAATCACAAATTTAAACCGTCCAAACTATCTTAAATGGAAAGTTGACCAAACCAACAATTGTAGATCTTGATGAGTTGAACAAACTTAGTATTCAAAACTTTTCAATTTGAAGTCATTTAGAGTTCATAATACTAGAGTCAAAGTGTTGTTTTTTCATTTGACCAAATTTGACTTGGTCAAACTTGCTCAAATGAGACACTAAATGACCTCAGATGAAAAAACTCTGAATACCAAGTTTGATCATCTCAGCAAGATCTACAATTGTTACATAGCTCATTTTCCCATTTGAGAAAGTTTTATAAAACACTAGTCATAAATTCTTGAATCTCATAAAGACTTTCTGAAACTATGTCACACACTTGTGAAATTTGAACTATATTTTGTTCAAACTTTCTCAAATGAAAAAATGGCCTATATAAGGATTGTAGATCTTGAATCCATGACCATGACTCCATGAGACCCATGAAGCCATGAGCTTGGCTATTTCTACTCATGCCGCGAAGATTGATGCTTGTATGATGTTTGATGTATGATGTATCTGTATCTTTATCTTATTTGTTACTTTACTCTTTAGTCTTTCGGCTTAATCTAGATGGATTATGGACTCATAGAGTGGTGTAATGGTTTGCGCACGTATGGTATATATATATATATATATGCTACTTTTACTCAATATCCGAATAGATATTTGTATCCGACCTTCTCTGAATCCGATTCATACCGTATTCGATACTCATTATTCGTATCCGTAACCGAGTCAATCCGTATTCGTATATGTATCCGAACGCTATCCGTGTCCGAATCCGAATCCAAACGAAATATGAAAACAAATATAATACTGAGTGATATTCGTTCGTATCCGATCCGTTTTCATCCCTAACTACGAGGCGTATGTTAATGCCATTTTCAGACGCAGTGCATATGCCCATCTTTGTTAATAAAAAAAATACAAAAATAAGGGGCCCACACGCAGGGCGTCACCTCAAGCGCACTAGATCTGAGCCTCCATCCAGTGAAAAAGTACAATTTAATATTAGTTAAATGTATTAAGCAGTAGTAACTAATGCTTATGTCTTCTTAGATTCTGTCCCGTGCGAGATCACGGATCGATGGACTAGTATAATAATAGTCCATATTAAGCGCCTTGCAAGCCATAGACATTGCCCAAGTATAATTGTACACATGTAATAATTTTTTCAAACGCATCTCTTAAGTGAGATTAGCCATTGGTTCACTCAACTCAGTATTAATAAATCTATACCCCAAAAGCGAGCAAACGAGTAAGCAAGAAGCCAGCTAGCTCCAGCCATGGCCAGGAACCACCACCACCTCCTCCTTGCTCTGTTTCTCGTGGCTGCTGCTGCCGGCACCACCACCACCACAGCTACCTCAGTCAACTCGACGACGCCGACGGCGTACGAGATGCTGGAGCGGTACGAGTTCCCGCGCGGCATCCTCCCGGAGGGCGTGCAGCGGTACGAGCTCCGCCCCGACGACGGCTCCTTCGAGGTGTTCCTCTCGGGCCGCAGCGGCAGCTGCGAGTTCCGCGTCGGCGACCGGTACCTGCTCCGGTACGACCGCCGCATCTCCGGGACGGCGCGGGAAGGCTCCATCCGGGCGCTGCAGGGCGTGAGCGTGAAGGTGCTGTTCGTGTGGCTCGCCATCACCGAGGTGGACCGTGCCGGCGACCAGCTCAGCTTCCTCGTTGGCCCGCTCGCCGCGTCGTTCCCTTTGGAGAACTTCGCCGAGAGCCCGCGCTGCCACTGTGGCTTCCACTGCGCCTACGTCGCCGGAGACGCCGCCGCTGCCGTCGCGGCCTCCTGATGCCAAGGCACCTCATCTCCTTCCGGCTAGCTCTGCTTTGGCTTGCATCGCGTCGCTGCATTTGTTCATGACTTCGTGTATCATATTATTGGGGATTATTTGTTGTTTTGTAATTTGTATACAAATCTGAGCAATTCCATTTCAATTAATTTGATGCCATGGCGTTGCTGGCTCGCACTACTGCTGAATGTTGCATTCTTGCCTACAGCTTTTCTCTTGATGGCGGCTGCAGATTATCTCCTGGCAATTTCTTGATAGATTTGTGGAGTCGTTTCATGCTTGGGTTAATTTAGTTAAGGTTTTGTGCGACGTTGGCATCGCGTCTCAGTTTTCTATGCTGCTCTACATTTTTAGCCCTTGTTTAGTTAGGTGAATTTGGATTTTAGTGCTACTATAGCACGTTCGTTTTTATTTGGTAAATATTGTTCAAACATAGATTAATTATGCTCAAAACGTTCGTCTCACAATTTCCCACCAAACTGTGCAATTAGTTTTTATTTTCGTCTACCTTTAATGCTCCATGCACGGGCCACAAATATTCGATGTGACAGGTACTATAGTAACTTTTTGAACTTTAAGGTCAACTAAACAAGGCGTTAATCGTTCTGAAGCAGAATATTCGGTAGCTGCTGGTTCAGTGAAAGAACACGCCACCTTGGCAGGGATCTGGCAGATCAGAAGGAGACAAAGGTTGCTTGGGTGGATTTTGGCATGATTAGCGAGAAATATTAGTCTTCGTCCCTGATTGGTCCAGCAGGGTGGCAAATATCCAGCAGGGTGGCAAATATCGTGAACTGTCCCGTTCAGTGAGTATTCAGTAAGAGTATCTTCAAGAGTTTGCTATCTTAACTTGGCATCTATATAATTTTGGTAAAACAAGAAAAAATAGCCTCCAATAGTTTGGCAAAACAACTTGACATCAATAGCAACTTGGCAAATCTTCCCTCTGCGCGCGCAAATATACGCGTGTATACGGCTTGGCATCCGGGGCTCTTCGTTTCTTAGCGGGGCTCTTCGTTCGCTTAGCGGACCTCTTCGTTTTGTTAATGGGTTTTTTATTTTACCAAGTCAAAAATGCCAAACTCTTGGAGATAGATTGTTTTTTTACTTGACATATAATTTTGGGAGTTGGTAAATCACAAAATTTACGAAGTAAAATTTGACAAACGCTTAAAGATTAAATGAACAATTCACGGCTGCTTGTTTGCCTACCTTGGCGTAGCAACGAAAGGAAACATAAAAGTACTGCATGGCAGCCAGAAAGCCAGCCGCTTTTAAGCCTACCAACTACTAGAAAAATGAAGCGCGCTTCGCGGGCCCTCTGGTTCGTTGTCTAAGAGCAAGTATAATGAGGCCAGCTCAGTCAGCGAAATGACCTAACACATCAGCACAATCTGACGTGGGAGAGAAAGAAAGCAAGAGAGAGAGACGAGCGGGCGACTAGCTTAACACCGGCAAAAAGCGGGCGAAATGGCATGTTCCCCAGCTCATCCGGCTCCCATTAGTTCCCACATCGTTTGTAAACACGCCGAGCATTAAAGGATGGATGAGACCCGCCACCACCGGTCCCCAGCTCAAGTGACCTGGCGCTACTTGCAGCCGGCAGCGGGCGTACTTACTAAACTTGCTCTAAGGGGTGTTTGGACTACTCTACGAATTTCACTGTGGAGCAGCTCTATAAAAAAACTATAGTTTGTAGGGCATCTTTCTCACAACTCCACTATTTTTCCTCGAACAGTGCGTGAAGCTGAAACCGTTTAACTAAAAAACGTGAAGTGGAGCTATCCGAGACACCCCCTAAGTCTAAACACAGAACATGACATCTGTGCATCTCATTCTCATCCCAACGGGAATGCATTGTTGTCCTTAAGAAAGTTTCCCATAGCTCTATGAGAATGATATGATTAAGATGCCGGGACGGATGGATGCTTCCCACCACTCACTCCAGCAGCGCTCGTTCCCTCACCATTCTTATCCCTTCACGTCTTGCCCCACACCTGACGATGCAACCATCACTGCTTCCCTGGCCGGCGGCGGCGCCCTCACCTACCTCGGTGCGCGCGCTCCACCACGGCCTCCTCCTCCCCACCCTAGTGGCTCCTTCCCCCACCCCGACATCCTCCTCCCCCACCAGGTGGCTCCTTCCCCCACCCCGACATCCTCCTCCCCCACCAGGTGGCTCCTTCCCCCACCCCGGCATCCTCCTCCCCCACCAGGCAGCTCCTTCCCCCCACCCCCGCGTCCTCCTACCCCACCCCGGCGGCCTCTGTAACAGAACCGACCAATTATACGAAATTAAGTAAGAAAATCATCCACCAGAGCAGACGATTGAGCAAACTTAAGCCCAGTATAACCCGGTAGTCCGTGAAATCACGAAGGATTTCAAACCAACTCGTGTCCCAAATGCATGATCGTAATAAGTTTAGCGGTCACCAATCACATATTACATAAAAGTTTCCATAATGAGATACATCGAGTTTAAACATAGTTATTACAAAACAAGTTCGAATAAAAGTAGCGGAAGTCATTTGTTTAAAACCACACACACACTCACACGGAGTTCAAATATAGTGCCAATGAATGATCATCTCCAACAAAAGCATTAGATGAGACGTAAGGAATGACCATGCCCATGGTCCTAAGCATCACCATCGCAGGATAGAGGCGCTTGATACAATAGCCGTAATACATCTCGCCCATCTCAAACAAGTGGGAATAAAACCACGAGTACGAGAAGGTACTCAAATGGACTTACCCGACATAACCGAAAATAAATGACACCAAGGATTATGCGGGCATTATAGTAGGGTAGTGACTCATTTGCAAAAAAGAAGCATTTTTAGCATTTCAAGAACCTTTCTAAAAGCGATATTGTCAAGTTAATTATTATTAACCTGTCGACTAGATTTTCACCTATACTAGAGTAAACATGTGATTAAGCAATTAATGATAACCGCTGATCATTAAACAACTTCCATACTGTCATATTCACTATAACTGTCCAAGTGTTCCATAAACATTTACTACGATGAAGTAACTCAAGTCAAGTGCTCACTATCCAGGAGCGATGGCGATTCGAATCGATTCCTAACCAAATTGGTGATTTATTCCTTACACAAATCTCACTCACCCGCTAAAGTGAGATATTGATCACCGAGTCAACTTTCCGTATCTCGAGTTTGCCAGAACCACATGTACCGGGGCCGACCGATCGCACTTTGGTCTTATCATCCCGCCCGTGTCCTACCACACCGCTTGCAGGTCAAGGCGTCATGGGGCAATCTACTCGGCCCGAAAAATCTCCCGGCTTCAGCGGTCGGAAGGTACTTTATCCGGCCAGCTAAATGTAAGGCATCGTTCAACATGACTCGAGGCCCAACAACGGTCGGTCCTTAATCGACCTACGAGCGGAAACACTACAGGTCCAAAACCCCGCAAGTCTCCGCCTGGGTCTCAACTTCATTTAACACTTAGTTATACCATGACTTCATAGCCATCCAAACAGATCCGGTAACCACCTATAGCTCGCAGGTGACAGAAATCACCCGACTTCTACCGGTCTAAGCCGCTTAAGCATTGACTCGATCATTGCGGATACCGTGGTAACAAGGATATAGTATAACAAAGGTAAACAAGGTATAATGCAAAAGCGGTTGCAAACAACTCCTGAACGTAATGCATCAATTTAAAGTAAAGCATTTAACGAAATCATTGCAAACCGGGAGAAAGATGCTCGGGGCTTGCCTCTCTCGAAGGAGCTCGACGGTGATCGGGCACTCGGAAGTTCTTCAACGTCCTCCTCGTCGGCTTCGGCACTTCTCGCAAGGCACACCTCGAACTGCTCCTCGGGCTCCTCGGGTATGACGACTGGGTTCTCGGTTTGCGATCCCAGATGATGCAATGCGTGTAAGTGCCTATGCAATCGGTTGCATCGAAGGAGATGAATGCAATGAATATGTTGAAAGGCAAGGTAGACAACATCATCCAAGAAACTATGCTACAAGCACATGTCATCTACTGCATTCTCTTCTACTACCAATATGTTAAGTCAACATATTTTATTAAATGCTTCAAAGATACACCAAAGCTTTACTAATTTCTTAATCACACTTAAGGCAACACTTGCTTAAACCCTAATTAATAATAGGTTTTGAATAGCAACCTATATTTCTGATGCTCCTAAAAATCTGAGAAAATTACAGTAGCATACTACTACCCTAAACAGACTACCATAAAATTTCATGGCATTTGGATAAGTAAACTATCCTACACAAAATGACAAGCTATAGCCTAAAAATGAGCATGAAATTACTTTGTACTATGAAAAGTGTCAAACAACAGAATTAATATTTTCCTAGGTTCTTCATGGTATGTAATGACTGTACAAAAATTATCACATGCATGTTTTATACAAAGTTTGCTCTCTAGCAAAAATAACAAAAATCAGCCATTTAAGGTACTTGAACTACACCTCTAAAGTTTTCCACAGCACATGCATGAAATATATTTTTCCTAGGAAGTACATGACATAAGAAGATTAACAAACTTGGAATCATATTTTTCTGAAGCCTAGATATTTTTCTACATATTTTTTAAGTTATCAGCAATATTCAAGATTAAATAAAATCCTATAGAAAAGTATATCAAAAATGACATGCACTATTTTTCCCAAGTAGATCTGATGATAAGGAACCTAGCAAAATTTGTTTCAACAAATTTGGAGCAAGTTTGATCATCCAAACATTTTTCAAACTATTTTTGATTTCAAATAACAAATAATAAAGGAAATCAATTCACTTTAAACAATCTTTGGCCGGCCCATTGAAACAGCTGGCCCACGGCCATCATCGCCTCTGCTGCATGCCCCGAGCGCGAGGGAGGGGAGGCCCAGCAGTGAGGCGTCCCACGGCACAACTTTGGCCTGCCACCGAACAGGTGTGCCTCACGGAAAGTCTTATGATCAAGGCGGCGGCTGCTCGGCCACGAGGCCGGGCGGCCAA